AGTTTCCAGGTCAGATGTGCTGTTTGGAACTTTAAGATAATATAGGTTTTCATTATTAACGGCATACTTGTGAGTAGAGACCGACTGAAAGTGATTTTCTGATTTCGGCCGAAGCCGAAAATGGGCCGAAAGTTTAAAATGACTTTCGGTCAAAACCGAAAATAGACTGAAAGTTTAAAAATGAATTGCGACCGAAACCGAAAAAAGGCCGAAAGTTAAAAATGACTTTCGGCCGAAGCCGAAACCGAAAATGAAATATTTAGATATTTTGGAATTCGTTCCCGCATACATTCTACATACATCGAGAATGATGGGGGAAAGTATAAATATTTATGTTCTTTTTATAAAAAAGAGATAATCGTGAATATTAATAAATAAACATCTAATATAACATCTTGTTGTTAAAGATCGTTTAGTTTGTTCTTAAAGATCGTTAAGTTTGTTGTTAAAGATCGTTCAGTTTTTTTAATGATCGCTTTTTTTCCCTTAAAGATCGCTTAGCTTGTTTTATTAAAAGAACGTTTAGTTTGTTTATAAAGATCGCTTAGTTTGTTCTTAAAGATCATTGATTTTGTTCTTAAATATTGCTTAGTTGTTCTTAAAGATCATTCAGTTTGTTCTTAAAGATAATTTAGTTTGATTTTATAGATCTTTTAGTTTGTATTAAAAATCGTTTAGTTTGTTCTTAAATATCGCTTATTTTGCTGTTGAAGATCGCTTAGTTTTTTCATAAAGATCGTATCGCTTAGTTTGTTCTTATAGATAATTGATTTTGTTACTTAAGATCGATTAGTTTGTTCTTAAAGATCGTTTAGTTTGTTCCTACAGAACATTTAGTTTTCTGTTAAAAATCACTTAGTTTATTCTTATAAATCATTTAGTTTACTATTAAAGATCATTTGTTTTGTTCTTAAAGATCATTTTGTTCGTTCTTAAAAATCGTTTAGTTTGTTCTTTAAGATCGTTTAGTTTTTTTTATTAAAGATCGCTTAGCTTGTTCTTAAATGTTACTTAGTTTGTTGTTAAATATCGTTTAGTTTGTTCTCAAAGATCGCTTAATTTGTTCTTAAAGATTGCTTTATTTGTTTTTAAAGATCACTTTATTTGTTTTTAACGATCATTTAGTTTTTTCTTAAAGATCGCTTAATTTGTTGTTAAAGGTTGTTTAGTTTGTTGTTAAATATCGCTTTCGCTGAGTATTAGATGACCGAAAACCTCAGTCATTTTCGGCCAGATGGCCGAAATTCAAAGTCAATTTCGGCCGAAACCAAAAGAAACCTGAAAGCATGGGCGCCCGCAGGGGGGGGGTTAAGGGGGGCACTCCCCCCCCCCCTGGATTGATTGGATAAAAAAATCTTAAACAAAAATAACCAAAAAATTTATTAAAGAAAAGAGAAAATAAGAATAAAGTAACTAAGCTGATGACATGTCCGTTCGTTCACCANTTTTGCCCCCCCCCCCCCCAGAAAGTTACTCGATTTTTTTTTGCCCCCCCCCCGCCCATGCCTGAAAGTTAACTTTTCTTTTTTCCGGCCGAAACCGAAATTAAGCCGAAAGTTAACTTTCAGTTTCGGCCGAAACCGAAACTTGGCCGAAAGTGCTAAAACGGCCTTTTTATTTTTTTCAACTCTCAAACCCATTATTTTCATCAATAAAATAATATCAAAGCACATTTTGGCGCCCCTACCTAAATGGCGCCCGGGGACATCTGCCCCCCTGCCCCCATCACGCTACGCCTCTGTATACTTGTGAGATAATATAGCTTTCCTTTAATAACGGTATACTTGTGAGATAAGATAGGTTTCCTCTAATAACGGCATACTTGTGAGATAAGATAGGTTTCCTTTGATAACGGCATACTTGTGAGATAAGATAGGTTTCCTTTAATAACGGCATATTTGCTTAAATGAAAACGAAACGATTGAACAAGCATCCATGTGCGAAAGGTAGGAGGCGAAGTGGGCACTCTCCCCGGGCGCCAACACCAGAGGGTGCAAAAAACGTTTTGTTTTTTTTTATTGGGCGACACTTCTATATATATTAAGGGGTGTCATTTTCAGGCTTCGCTCCGGGCACTAATTTTCCTTGGAACTGCCCTGCCTTCATGCGCTTTGATCGCGGATGTTGCAGGGGACCAGTTCTTTATGTAGGGCTGTAGGAACAAGTATTTATGCATATTAGCTGTGGTCCACCCAAACATATTTACGGACCAATTCGATCGTAAGTAAATTTTCTGCAGATCGAATGATGAATGTCACCTTACAGGTTTGTTTTTTGTTTATACCTACCACGCACTATCTGATGTCTGACGTCTACCTAGCAAGCACTGGCCAGATGTCTGACGTCTACCGCTCCAAAAGCTGGCCAGATGTCCGACGTCTACCACTCCACAAGCTGGCCAGATGTCCGACGAATACCACTCCACAAGCTGGTCAGATGTCCGACGTCTACCACTCCACAAGCTGGCCAGATTTCTGATGTGATCAGAATAAGAAAAGCAACAATGATATAGTTGAATTTAACGGAGTGCCGTTACGTTTCATCCCCTTTAAAGGGAAAAAAAGCTAATGACCTCAATTCTGAAATTCTTTGTAAAAAAAAAAAAGAAAGTAAAAATGTAAAGTGATGGACTGGACATAATATTGTGCCGAGCGGAAGGTTACGATAATGCTGTCACGGTGTCTATAAGTCATTGAGGTGTGTAGTAAAAAAAAAAACAAAAAAAAACTGCTGGAAAGAAAGACAAAGAAAGCTATTTATAAAGGCCCTTCACTTAACGTGTGTGAGCAACACTCTTTAGTTGAACATGTATCATGTCTAACATTTGTTGGAAGGTCTTGAGGGAAAGTTTTCCTTCTTTCTGCTTCTACCCATGGATGGGATGTTTAAATTGAACTCAATGGAATGTTAGTAAGAGGACTATCAACACGTAAGAGTGCTGATCAAGCTGCGGTAAAAACTGTTGAAGTTGAAGACACGTTGGATGACTGTGCGGCGTGCTTTAATCCCTTACAACAGTCTTGATCCATTGGACGGCAATCCGTCTGTTGCCTGCTGTCTTCCACGTCACGTTTCTCCGCTGCACGGTACCGCTACTGTAGGGCTGATCCTTGAAACCGATACGATTGACGGAGTTATTCTTACTCTGCAAGAACTGCACACCAATTAAAGTAGCTTTGTTGTGTTTTTTTTAAATCGTCGTTTCTTTAAATTCCATGTTTTCTTCTGTTTTCTGCTTCTATTCTGTACAAACACAATTAGACGCGATTCTGTCTGTTTCGGTTAAGAGATTACTCGGTGCAGGTACGAGTGCAAAAAAAAAAAAATAAAATAAATAAAAAAAAAAAGGGGGGGGGGTGTTATGTACGGAAAAAGTGTGGGGACGACACCATGAGTTTACCGGACAGGGTGACACCAACCCTAGTGACGCCTCTGCAGTCCATAAAACTAAAACGTAATGAATTTTGACCCTTTTCCTTAGCCTCATAATTTTTTTTTATTGAAGTTGAAGTGTTCGTAAATAAATAAGTTCTTTGTCAATAAAAGTGGAGATTTATAAACTTTCCGTAAATGTTATTTTTAATGTGCTGGCAACCCTTTTAACGTTTTATTTCTTATTCTTATACATCCAGAGGCGTACACCGAGGGTTTGGCAAGACACTGCCCAGAGGCGTACACCGAGTGTTTGGGCAAGACACTGCCCAGAGGGGTACACAGAGTGTTTGGGAAAGACACTGCCCAGAGGCGTACACCGAGTGTTTGTGCAAGACACTGCCCGTGCCATAAGCGCGACTTGAATCGCGGTGCATAATCGGCGAGATGGACACGGGAAATCAACATTAAATACTACATTTTTCCCTTATAAGTTTGTTTACAGATGTTGAAAAAGCAAAATACAGCACATTAATCCAGTGTCATTCTTAAGGCCATGCAGACGAAGAACGGAGCACAGGACGAAGCCTGAAAGGGGCGCTAATCAATATAGAGATAAATTACTGGCGCACTGGTAAAAAGACGATTTTGGCGCCCCCTGCTGTTGACGTCCTGGGCGGGTACCCCGTTGGCATGACCCTACTCCTTATTGTATGTAGTATGTTAAATCTTGAGTAGGCCTTCTTATCCCTTAGGTTCATCATTGCACAGGACAAGAGTTTACCACGCAACCATGGGCGCCCGCAGAAAACTTTCTGTGGGGGGGGGGGGCAAAAAAATCAATTAACTTTCCAGGGGGGGGGGATTTTTTTAGTAATGTTTTAATATAGTTTTAATTTACTGTAGCGTATTTGTATGGTGAACGAACGGGCAGGACATCAGCTTTGTTACTTTCTCTTTATTTTCTCTTTACTTTAATACATTTTTGGGTCTATTTTTGGCTAAAAATATTTTATCCAATCAATCTGGGTGGGGGGGGCAAGTGCGCGCCCCCCCCCCTGCGGGCGCCCATGCACGCAACAGACCAGCATCATCTTAGTCAAGATTTCCAAGAAATAAATTATTGCTCAACGCAGGAGAGCTGGGTGTTTTATTTTCCGTTGGATAGTTCATGTACGTTTGCAAAACTGGAAGTTTCAGTAAAAGATCGAACAGAGTTGAGAGAGGCAATTCTTTAAATTAAACTAGATTGGCAATCCTCTAAACGTCATCTACCCCCCCCCCCCACTTCTACACCCAAACCTTCTCACGAATATATTTAAGGGTAATAAAAAAATTAAACAAATTAAATTGGGGGGGGGGGGAAAAGGAAAAGCGTTTTTTTAAAATCACTTCTACACACAAACCTTCTCAAGTATATATTTAAGGGTAATAAAAAAAGTAAACAAATTTAATTGGGGGGGGGGGAAAGAGAGAAGCTGTTTTTTAAAATCTGAGCCTGATTGTGCTTTCTATGAGGGATGTCAAAACTTTACTTTGTAGATTGTGTAGAGGCTGTTGCATATGAAATGTGAAGTTTAGATGTCTTGAAGACTCACATTTCAGAATAAATGACCACAAAATTCATGACCAACATCAGTGAGCAGTTTGAAATGACAAGTAAGCATTTTTAGTTTAATAGGGAATGTCAATATTATTATCTTCTGACTATTACATTCATAGTAAGAAGAATATAAAGAAATACAATAATCAGACTATCATGTTAATGCCCATTGTATCAATATCAATACTGTAATGGCTTAAACTGTTGCATCAAAGAGATGTACCCGGATAAGATCCTGATTGTCACAAGCTCATGATGATATCGTGCCAAAGTGTCCTCGTTTTATAGCCATTTTAATTGTTTCTATAGTATAGTAGTTACTATCCTAATGTCTCATTTTTATTTTAGTTAGTTTACATGTTTTTAATAATTGTAAAGCGCTTAGAGCTTTAAGGTAAGCGCTATATAAAAATGCCTAAATAAATAAATATTCAATTTTTATACATTTCTTTCTCACTTGACTGGCATAATCATTCAAAGTCCATAATTGTTATGAGTACTAATGCTGAATGTCATGATGATAAAATGAGGATAATGATATTCAGTCATTCAAACATTGCAATCACTAATTATTGGAAATTAAAGTGATTCTCGAATATGAATCACTTTGTTATAGGTTGTTCACAATGGTTGTTTGTTTACATTAAAATGATCATAATCATACAAATATAAATGGTTGTCATCTAATAAAATATTTCTTCAACCCTGGTTACATGATTAACAAAGTTGTCACACATTTGCACAATATTTATTGTAGTTGAACAGCTAGAAAAAGAATGGATAACCTAATTACATTTTTTAATGTAGATTATACAATTAATATGATAAATATTTTTCAACGGTCAAAATAATATTCAAGTGACTGCAAAGAACTACTGCAAATAGTCATTATTATGAAATAACAAATATATATGTAAAATATTATATGCATAATGATACAACATTTCCCATAAATGTTAAAGTGCTAAGAAAATGTATAAAGCAATCTTAAAACACACAAGCTGTGTGATTATAAGGAGATGACGAAGCTTTGAGACAACACTCTCTTCAATTCAAACACTCATTGATTGTTTCATCAACATGGCAGATTAACTTAGTTTTAATTTTTGGTAGCTCTGTGTTTATTCCAGAAGCAATGACATACATGGTATGAAGACAGTGATTGTGTGTGGTATTGTGTAGACGCCCCTACTTTGTTTCAATATCAACAGCAGTTTATTTCAAACGGCCATCATTCACAATTGTTTGAATCTACTCAATTAGCTTTTAAACAGTTCCATTTTTTGAAGATTCCAAGGAAACATAATCAATCCTACACTCCCGAAGCTACTGCAGCCAGTACATGCTACTGATTGCTATACTTTCAACATTACTATTATACTACATTGAAAAAGTTTAAAAAAACAAAGTAAATCCTGCGTCAGAATTTAGGACAAATTAATACTGTTCTACAAGACGTGGCCATTGTAATCACTATAAACTTTTTAATCAAGTTAAAAATGTCAGAGCATGTATGGTCAAAAGTCTAGACAAGACAATGCAGACATTAAGAGCTTGTTTAACTACCTGTTAAACCAATAGTATGAACAGACAATATCAACTTTGTCTCCATGAATATTTCTTAAAAGTTGAAGTTGAACCATTTTTTCTAAATATTATTATTTTAAAATGAACTATCACTATTTGGGTTTCTTTTTTTTCTCCTTGAGCTAAGTTTAAATTACCCTGATTTATCTTGAACATAAAAAATTGTCAGGCATATGATGAATGGACGCAACAATAAGCAGTAAGGACACCAACAATACACATTTCTTCCTTAAATATTTGAGGGCTATACAGATTACAACTAGAATTTTGTATGCTTTTGGCAATACCTACAAAAGCTACAATTCCTTCACCTTCAGCTCTCCTGTTTAAATTAAGTACCATCTAAGTGTTCAACAAGAAAGAAAATTCATGTTCATACTCCTTCAACCCATGTTGCATGCACACATTTTTGGACTGACACATGTCTTGGATCAAGTGAGCCGCCCAAAAAAACTATACAAAAGGTCTAAAAATAACTTTAGGGTGTAAGAGCGTTTTATTAATTGGTTTAGTTATATATACAAATTACAAAGAATTCCTGATTATTTTTTTTCTTAAAATAAAAACAACTCAGAAATTCAAGGAAAATTGGTCAAGATGGAGATTTAAATAATGAAATGAATTATTTATTCTAAAAAATATAACAAAAAGTGAATACCAATGCTTTGAAGGCGTAAGGGTTTCTGGTGATGTGCTCGATGTCCTCAAAGAGCAGAGGAATGGGAGGATAATTACACCAGTTATGAACTTGACGTGTTTTCACGCCAAAAAAATATTTGCTGTGGCAACAATATTTTTATGACACAGTTTACAGGTTGTTGAGATGTCTGCACACGGCTGACAGGCAATGACATGCCCACAAGGTAGAAACACACAACTAACTGGGCGTTCATGACAGATGCCACACATGGTCCTTTGACTCAGGTAGGCATTCTCCCGTTCAACAGCTTGCGTCATTTCAAGGGTGTTTGGCCCATCACTCACTTCGTTAGTATCTGCATGATCATCATCGCCTCCATCGGCTCGCTCAAAACCAAGAGATCTTTCTGCTAATTTTGAAGTTACTGATGCTACATTTAAAAAAAACAAAAAAAAAAACAACAGTTAAGGGCAGTTAAATAAAATCAATACCATAACTAATGATTGTTAAAAATGAAATCACAGGTTATAATAAGTAATAAGTTAATACGTTCCTATTTATAAATGAATGTGAACTGTAGTTAAACCCTGATATATACCAAAATTAAAGCAATAATATACCAAAATTAAAGCAATACAGTAAGAGTAAACACATCAAAGATAGTTAGCAATCAATTAAACTTGATTTAAACACCTGTTAAAACTCTATATTTCTTTAAAATAATATTTTTATATGTAGCCGAGTGGTGACGTAGCTTACAGTTTAAATAAAATCACAATAAAACAATCAGGTCTGAGAACTATAGCTTTTTAATGTAAGGTACAATCCGTTGACAGAGCCGACAGGAAAATCTCTCACACCTGCCGCCGACCCGACGCATCCGTTCCACACCACAATCTAAAAAATGTACACACTCCAAGTCCCAGTTCGCCCCCCCCCCTTTTTTCCCCACACAGTCACATGGAACCCGCGTCCCGAGCTGACCATGGGTCAACCCCGGGGCAGGGATGGTTATTCCCGCGTGTAAATAACCAACATAAAATTTAAGGCCAGTACACAGCTGTGTGTTACTTTAAATGACCATGGATGTGTCCGTGCTTGGGGTTACCCATAGCAGTCACACTATGACTATGAGAGTGGATTCTCTTATTCCTATCTGTTCCATACTGTCGCATATAAAATGTTACCTAAAAGCAGTTGCAAATAGTGCCAGATTGCCACATCCACCCCAACTGTTTAAATCCCAGCGTCCCCGCTGGGCCTACTACTTTGTAATAAAAATTTAAAGAACGATCGAATATTTGAAAACAAATTAAAACACTTAGCATAAACAACAACTAGGACTAGTGTCTTTTTGTGCCACTGCCTTATTTCCGTTTCTCTCGATTTGCGATGCTAAGTGATCTGCGGGGTACTATTGGTGGAGGTACTACTGGTGGAGGTACGACTTGCGTTGTGGTCACGTGTTTACCTCGTGAGTGTGATAAATGTTGGGGAGCAGTATTGACAGGTACACATGTGTCATGCCGTTGTGGTGAAACCTGTCTTGATGGGATAGCATCTAAACTGGACAGGCCTGACTTTGAATCTGAACTTAATGTCCTTGTTTGTGAGGATGAGCTAATATCGTTCAGGTGCCCTGTACTCATTGTACTGGAAGTTGGTGATGTGAAACCATGGTAGGGATTGAATCCTCTGTGATGTGATGGGCTTCTTCCATTGGATCACTTTCATTTTTTAATAAAATTTCAGATTTCTCAAAAACATTCAGAAGTTCTCCCTTATAATTAAAAACGTGTGTCTTTGTTTTTAGTGTTACTGTGTGGGTCATGATAACGGTTCTTCTCTCAACATCTGGGCAAACTGCTGGTTGTTTTGGTGCAACACTAACAGAACCATCCGTAAAACAGTGTCAGAAAAATTAACTGTTGATCTCTTCCTAATATTTCGAAGGTCAATATGACCAGCTGTATTAGTCACACTTTCGGGTTGAAGTTTAAGAATCGTATTTGCGTCTGAGTTTGTGGATCGCACATTCTCAGATTTAGTTCCAACAACAGTAGGGCTAAACTGACCAGGTTCTCTTACATATGTTGACACATGCTGACCAGCAGTCGGCTGGTCGTGAGCAGCATCATGACCAAATGGCATCTTGGATTTCCTTTTTGACCATCGCCTCTTGGGGTGTTGTGGTTGTCCATTTCTTTGAGAAATGTAATTTTTCTTGGCACAGCATACCTGCTCTGTGTGACCTCTACGACTACACCAACGACATAACACATCCGTGCGCGTAGGTTGTCGCTTACGCTTATGTCGTCGCTGATGTTTAGGTGCTGGTGTAGACTCGGTGAAACGGACGTTGCAGTCCCTTTCAGGTGATGGAGGGTTATACCGTTCTGCCCTGGCTGCCACTTGATGGTCAATACGAGCCATAAGTTGTGTTGTCAGCTGGGTCAGGTAAGGTGACGGTGATGCTGAGAGCTGGGCGGTGGCGACATCATAAATGTACTCATGCATCCACGGTTGTGCTTCCCTACGGACGTCATCAAATGAGCGGCTAGTGTGTAGCCTTGCGTAGGCCTTGACATCTCTGCGTAGGGTGTGTGGTTGGAGACTTTGGATGAATACGTCACGCAGTATGTCTTCTGGGAGAATGCCAGGTCGTGCAGAATTAGCTAACATGAAGATGTTGCGCAATTCTTTCGCATAGTCCTCGACAGTTTCCCCAAGGTATTGTTGTCTACAGTAGAATGCGGCCGCTAGAGTTGTGACGTCATGATGATCACCCCAGTTCTACAAAATCAAGTGCAGTAGTTTATCTGGAGTGTCTATCGTAGCAACAGCTTGGTCCAAAATATCTTGACGAGCACGTCCCTCCAGGGCACCTATTATCCAGATGACCGCTGAGGTTGCGGGGATCGGCTGAAGTTGCAGGAATAAACTTACTTCCTTCACAAACTGCTCTGCATTGCACTCACCATTAAATTTAGACAGCTTGGGTGGACTGTTGGCTAGGTGAAACTTCTCCTGCACTTTTCTCCACCGGTCGGTCTATGTGTGTTCTGTCTATGATTGTGTTACCTTTTCTTTAAAACTGTTCTCTAAGAACCCTGCCGACAACGCCAAAACTGTAGCCGAGTGGTGACGTAGCTTACAGTTTAAATAAAATCACAATAAAACAATCAGGTCTGAGAACTATAGCTTTTTAATGTAAGGTACAATCCGTTGACTAAGCCGACAGGAAAATCTCTCACACCTGCCGCCGACCCGACGCATCTGTTCCACACCACAATCTCAAAAAAAATGTACACACCTCAAGTCCCAGTTCGCCACCCTCCTCCACACACACAGTCACAGGGAACCCGCGTCCCGAGCTGACCATGGGTCAACCCCGGAGCAGGGATGGTTATTCCTGCGTGTAAATAACCTACATAAAATTTAAGGCCAGTACACGGCATAGTGTTACGTTAAATGACCATGGATGTGTACGTGCTTGGGGTTACCCTTAGCAGTCACACTATGACTATGAGAGTGGATTCTCTTATTCCTATCTGTTCCATACTGCCGCATATAAAATGTTACCTAAAAGCAGTTGCAAATAGTGGCACATGGCACATTGCCACATATAGTAACTGTTTCATGTAGCAACCGTTGAAAAAACTCTCTGTGACCCCATTTGGTGGTGACCCATGGCTTAGGATCCAGAGCTTTAAAGCAATCAGAATTGCCCTTGTATTTAATGTTTCTGTTAGCATGTAATTATATCAGTTTGAATGAAGACAAGATATAAATAAATCAATGCTGTGGTCAGAATATTTATATAATATTCTAAAGGGTCACCTTGTTGACACTACCGACTCTAAGAGGACTCATTTATGAGATCCTGTGTACGATTCAGCCATTTCCGCCTATGGGAAAAGTGAGCATAAAAATAATGACTGGTACGAGGTGCATTGGGATGTGATGGAACCCGCAACTCAGAAAAAGAGAATAGCCCTACTTGCCTATAACTATAAGGATGTACTTTGCGCTTATACACAATAGGCTCTTCAAAATGAAAAACAAATATCCCTGCAGATTGCCTGCCACTGTGCTAAATCTTACTGGTTGGACCTTTGCCAATGTATCTAATTGGCTTCCCACAATGAGGATGCTAGGGGTATGTACAAGGGCATTAGGGCCACACACTTCAAAAATAGCAACAATATTTCCATATACAAGTAGCGCAAGGGCAATAAAAATAATCACCTGGAATGGTAGGACGGACAGTAGCAATATTTGGATCCACAGGTCTGTCACCTATATTCCTACTGCTATCACCAGCAGAATCACTATCACCGCTGCTTAGATTAGGTGCCTCGGGCTGATCATTGGCAGAGTACAAGGAGACTAACACGTCTATTAAAATATCCAGCTGAATGCTCTGACTGGTAATACCTAAAAAAAAACAACAACACATAAACAGATTTTTTTATTACAAAGAAGTGTTCCCGAGTTCACATTTTAAAAAAAATATATTTCTGTAAAGCACACAATTTATCAATTTTATTGCACAGTAAGAAAACTAACCAGATTTTTAAATCATTATATTTTAATGTTACGAGATTGAAGCAGTATGTTTAAATCAAGAACAACTATTCAGAATTCAAAAATCTACTGGAAAAATTTCGGATAATTAGCTAAAACTTACCAATCTCTTCTACAATGTGACTGATAGCTTGAATTATTTGTTCACTGCGCCATCCAGCTCTCAGAGCCTCTTGTGCCACTGTTAACCTTAAATAGGCATGTTCTGGATCACCTATTTTTAGCATTAGGTAAATTATGTATAGAGAGCATAAGAAATTCTCACTGCTAGGTATGACATCTAACTTACTTAATTTTTAATTATGTAGTGATCTGTATAAAAAGATTCCCAAACTGAGGCCTGGATGCAACCTAATGAAGAATGAACAACCAATTCAAATGCAACTGAATGTGATGAACTGTGGCTTGTTTGTCACAGCCTTCCTTTCATCAGGTCCAAATTAATGATGTGCTCAAATAACAAATGCATTAAAATTTGGTACTAAGAAAATATCATATTTAAATATTATCATACGAAAGGAACATTGTTTGGAAAACGATAGTAAAATGGGGAAATAATGTAATGGATTAAACGACTATCTCTATAATATGACTCTTTCTTACTGGTTGAGGAGGAGTTGGTGGATCCAGCAGTGATAGGAGTGGAAGGGGTTGGTACCGAGGGTGTTTGTGTGGTTTCTGAACCTGTCTGATTAACCTGTGTCTGTTATGAACGAAATTTAATTTAAAAAAAAAAAAAAAAAAAACTTTTGAGGAGTAATAAAAAAAACCTTCCAGATAGCTTGGTAGAAATATTTTAACATTTATAACAATTTACAGATTTGAAATGAAGATGGTTTAATAAATTTAAGACTTTTAAAAATTGAATTTACTCAATATGTGCATTAAAGTAAAGCTCTTACTTGTTCATTTTGGATATCTTGCTGAACTCTGTCAATATATTCTTGGCCTTTATACATACGGTTATACACACAATGAGGACGGAATCTGGCATGTTGGTATGCTGGTATATCGTTGGGTCGCCAGTATTTGAGACCAAGGCCACAGTAAAAACACCGTACACAATCAGCGTAACCTGAAACAAGTTTTATTCTTATAAAATATCGTAGGGATTAGTTCTGAAAATGATGATATTGCTGTGGTGAGTTGGATATTTATATATGGTCAAAATTGAGAAACACACTGATGGTGAATTTTAAATTAAAATTTTGATTTTTTTTTTTCTCTCAGCAAAATCAGACATTCAAACAGTATCTGCATTTACAGCTCTTAATTAGATCTATAGCATGGCAGTTATCAATGTCTAAAACCTTTGCCTATTTACTAGCATCACATTAATTATGAGTCTGATGGCATATTTTTCAACACTATAACATTGTGCAATAATTATGTCTGACCAAATAATGGAGTATTCAAATATATATCAGGAAAAAGCTGAACTTGTTTCTGAGCACCTAGGCAGAAGCAATAGACTACAATTAGGGAAACTGTTGCTTTAAAGCAAACTGGAATGGATTCCCCAGCCAAACATGTAGGCCATTCTTGGGGAGTAGGAAAGAATGAAAAAAAAACCAACAAAACAACCCAACTCATATAGACAGTTCTAAGCTGGACAAGTTATTTTGTAATAATATTTCAGTTCTAAAATTCTCTCACATCCTTTTAAAAAGAATTCAAAATAATGAGTCATTTAAGACAAGGCCCCAAATTAATGATTCTTTACCTGCATAAAAGAATCCTCCGGTAACAAGATCCTCTGGTCTCTGTGGATGGTCAGGATTCCAACCATTAAATGTTGTTCTTCGAGCAGTACTGCTGGCAAACTGAGGATAAGATGCTCTGCTCAAGTCAAAACTTGGTAGGACTGAGCCTCCAACAGCACCCTCCTCTGATGAGTTTTGGTCCTGGCCATCCTGTGCCTGGACATTAGATGCTCTTTGAGTAGGTGCATTGTCTATGGACATGGGTTGCCTGGCAACAGAAGTCAATACCTCTCGACTGTTTGACTCATGGCTCTCTTGGCTCACCAATGCACCTGATACAGTGTTCAAGTACGTTGGAAGACTGTGCGCTTCAGAAGTGAAATAAACATAATTGGAATCCCCATTGCCCATAGGAGGGGCACTTGATGGTTTTGGAGTCTCAGTGTAATCTCCAATTTCAGAAAATCCAGTGTCAGAGACTTCATTGCCTCTGTTGAAATGTTCAGCATGGTGAGTGCTGTTAGATAATGCATTTGAGCCATAGTCACCGCCCACAGTTTGTGGGAGAGACAAACTAATTCCGACTCGCTGTGAAGTTTCAGAATCGTTAAACAAATTTGGTGTTAAGCTTCCAAATGCAGTGAAGTAAGGTGCCAAATCTTCTGTATTTAATCCATGAGTCCATTCATTTAAATTCCTGTTATATTCATGACGTTGGCAGTTGGGCCCATGCGCATTGTCAATGGGAGAACCAACAAGAAAATCTGCATATTCACAACCACAGCTAAAGCAACGAACACGGCCACCACTGCCAACAACATAGAAGCCCGACTGAGCCAGCTGGGTAACCCACAAGTCTACATTTGGTGGGAACTGGGTAAAACTAAATGAGCATAACCGGAAAACTTCATACCTCATCAGATTATTTATGGCATCCCTTTGATTATTGGGCCTCCTTTGTTCTTGTGCTGATGGGGACAACGGGTTGGATTTAAATGGTTGATTTGACAGGGGATAGACAGAGAGAGACTGAAAAAATGATTGTCTTGACCAGTAGTTCTGAGAATACACACTCCACCTGAACCCTCTACCCATATCTTCATGATCTTTTGGCACAATGTCAAGACCAGATTCACCTTTTTTTTTATCTGAAAGCTCTCCAGATTTTCCTTCAGTTGAATCCTCTGATTTGCTTTGCATCAGATCATCTAAAGGTGTATCACATTTGATTTTCAGTGAATTTCTCCCAAATATTGAGTTTCCTGTAGAATTTTCTACTTTAGTCCTGGACAACTTCATTTTAGTTTTTTCCCCAGAAGAGAGATCAGACAAAGCTAAGTTTCCATTTTCAGCCTTCTGTAACTGAATAGCATTGTTGCACTGTGAATATTTTTTTTTGCTAGGCACTTTGTTTCCAAACTTATACTTGGAGTAATCACATTTAACACTTACTAGACTGTAAATAGCCCTCTCAAAATTAATTATAGAGTAAAGATTTCTATACATTTGTTGGATTATAAGTTTGATTATTTTCTCACAAGATATGCAGCAAAAGTACCATATAAGCGCTGGGTAAGACTTGCTAAAATTTACATAACAATTTAAATGGCTAAATGTAGGGCCCAATAAATCACTTCTAGGATGTATAGGACGTATAAAAACCAGTTCTTTAGAATAATGACAGATGCAAATAAAACATAATTTGTTAATTGAATCAAAGGAGTTAGACGGAGCATTTTTTTTCTTCACTCGCTTTTTAACTAAAAAGTTTTTTCTCTCAAAAAAATGCTTTCTTATCATTGCAGATATTTCTGAATATTCTCCAAGTTTGAGTGTTTTGAATAGTGCTTCAATATGCATTTTTTGGCCATGATTGTGACTGTAAGGCTGAAAAGTAAAAAAAGGTTTATACAATTACATGAATAATTGAGTTATCTGGTTTAAAAATCTTAATCACAATACTTTCTTGAAATCAGTATAATTTAACAAGGATGAAATGTTAAATCTATTATAGGTTAATTAGGGGTTGTCCATAAAGGATGTCCACTCAAAATAAGCATTTTTTCCACCATCCCGCTGTCCAAATATGGCTTTAACCCACCCCACCCCCCCACACCTTTAGGGTTGCGCACATTCCCAGGTACATACAGACATTCACAAAACTGGACATACTCAAGGTACTGTTGTTTTTTTTTTTTTGAAACTCATGATTTAGCACAGTGATGTCCAACCTTCTTGAGCCCTTTTTAAAAATCTATTTCTGTTGGGGCCATATTGTGTTTAGGAGTTTTCTGGAGCTACTCTGAGAAGTGCACCTTGGAACCATTGATCTTGTGTATCCTCTAAGAAAGTTTTGGACATTTTAAAATATCCAGGAAAGCCCTCTTGCCAATTCCTACTACTTATAATTAAAAAAATGATGGAAACAAATTTAAACTGAATGCATGTATCTCTATGGTGACCAAAGGTCGGGAAAAACATCAACCGCTTACCAATAATTCTTCAATGATCTCAACCATGGTATTTTGCTTGTTAATGTCTAGCCTTGCTCTCTGAATCACTAAAAGACTCCAATTAACACTGCTGAAAGAATACATAATGTGACAATGAAATAAGTCAAGCAAAGGGTATAAATCTATAATAGTAATTACCAGTTGGAACTTCTATGATTTTATAAGTTTTAATTGAATTTACATGTATGCTAATAGGTCAGAAACATCAAGCTAACCCCTAATCCTTAGAGAGCTATTTTTGATACTAAATGTACAAATGAGCTGGAAGATGACAAACTTACTTGTCTCATCATTCTGTCTATTCCAATTTTGTTCTTCAATGTGCATTATTGTCAAATCACTAATCTATTTGGTTTGTTCATTAGCAAATTTGAGGCTACCAGTTGAAGTGGGAAAAGTTTGTTTAAACATATGCAAAGGTATGAAATTTTTTTAAATAAAAAAAATAAAATGATGGAAATGTCTTCCCTTAAATTTTTACAATACTATTTACCTTTGCCTATGACAACTTTTATGAGCATGATAACGATAAAACAAAATGAATGTCACAAAATGAATAAAACCTAAAAAAAAATTTAAAAAGAGAAATTTTACTATTCCGTTAGCTTTTTTTCAACAAAACTATTTACCTTTTCCTAAGCCTACTTGTATTTTAATTGTTGAAATATTTGACAAATAGGTCATCATGCAGCTGTAAGCAGTGTTTGCAAGGGATTAGTCATATATTGTACCATGACAGCAAGACATCCAGGAATAATGAAAAAAAGATTGCAAAACCGACAGAGTGACAGTCTGACTGCTGATAAATGACAGAAAGCTTGAATCCCTATTGGCCGAAACCAAAAATCAAATGCAAGTTAACAATACGTTTTTGTCTGAAACAGAAACTATGCCAAAAATAATCATATGGAAAATTTCACAGTCAAAACTGAAAGTTGGTCAGCCTCTACTCGGTGGGCATCCTTTTTTCCAAAAATGTCACAGTTGTGAATATAAAGTATATTTTGCCACACTATATATACAAAATAAATAAAATGAAATAAAGAAAACAGCCGTTTCATCATGTTTACACAACTGTTACGCACTGGCTTCTATTGTGGGAAATTAATCTCTTGTTTTAAGTTATGGCTCGTTCAAACAGTGTATAACAAAAAGATGATACCATAGAGAAAAACAATAGCAAAAATATGACACCCAAAACAGTTGCTAATTACAATTAATAAGATTTATTTAAGTATTAATATAATTACAAAAAAAAAAAGAAATATAATTACAAATCATCAACTTACAGAGTATGCTAGATCTTGTACCGGTACACAGATAGTACAAAGTTAATTAATAATGTACAGTGACAAAGGCAAATAAACACATTTGAGTACACAAAAGAATAATAACACTTGTCTTGTAAAGTTAAAAATACCTATCTGAATCTCTATCAATCTCTGAAACCCCTTATTTATACAGTGGGTTGAAACGCCTTTACTTTTCTAATCCAATCACAAACATTCTACAAAATACTATTGAGAGGAGATTAATTTTTTTTAGTTGCTGTCGGCAGTAAACACGGTAGATCAAAAGAAATTAAACCACGCCCATCTATGAACGTAGTGTCTGCTAGGAATCTAATTTGGGGTCATGCAAAGTTCACGGCACGGGAATAGTGTCCTACATAACAACAACTTTTAATGCAAATTCTGAAATTTCTTTTCAAAAATGGTTAAACAAGCAGAAAAATTTGTGTTCAATTCTTGTACTTGTACTAAATGTACAAATCTTCTTTGACTCTCATTTCACATCTAATCTGGTTATTTATTTTGAATTCCATCCTAAATTGTAGAGCGTGTCAATATTCTTAGAGCCAGTTTAATCCAAACATTAAAAATAATTTTGAAATGCCTAGTTTCAATATTCTTGTTAGTCAGAATCATATTCCACTCTGCTGCAATTAAAGAAAACTGCTGCACAATAAAATAAATTCAAGACTGCTGTTAGCTTATCATTTGGAATCAATTTTTGTCAACAACATAAAGGACGGTGACAATTTCCCGACTTGAATATCCATATAAAATGGAAAGTGACAAAATTTTAATGCCAGTTTGTACTTGTTAAAATCAAAGACACATTCTTCAAATTTCCAGACTGATTTTTCAACTAGGCAAGAAAATTGTAAAATAAAAAGTAAAAAATAAAAAAACTGTCCATTTTTCAAAATAGGTCAAATCAGCCTTCAAAATTTGAGCATTGAAAAACCTTTGTTTTAAGCTTGATTTCCTCAACATTTTGCGCATGATGGAAAATTATTTTTTCTTGCACTAAATCTTTATGTCCAACTCATTCAATTTTTCTGTCTCTTTAAATAAGAATTTCTGATTTGTTGAAATAGTATGAAAATTGTTTGTACACTTTTTCTCTATTAAGCTTTCTCACATTTGTTAAGTAATTGTTTTAAAAACATATTCATATTGTATTGTTTTTCTTCCCTTTTACACTTTTCTTACCAGTGTGTAACTGTAGCACACACGTTTTAGTTGAGGGAAGGGAGTGACCGCAGGTCGTTGACAAATCTTGCAGCATACCTAGAGGGCTACAATAAAGTTGCTACGTTCGCCACAAAACTAATGTGTTCCGCTGAAATGATTTAATTAAACTTTAATATTTTGTTCTCATTTTCCTTTTTTTTTTATAAGTAGCTAAAACAGCACATTCTCTATCTTTCCCCTTCTCATTTAAGCCAAAGTGTCCTCGTTTTATAGCCATTTTAATTGTTTCTATAGTATAGTAGTTACTATCCTAATGTCTCATTTTTATTTTAGTTAGTTTACATGTTTTTAATAATTGTAAAGCGCTTAGAGCTTTAAGGTAAGCGCTATATAAAAATGCCTAAATAAATAAATGTGTGTTTGCACAAAATTTTTCTTTCGACCACATCTACATGTTTTCGTCATTTTTTCATATACTTTATCATATTCATATGCACTTCATTCACTGTCTTTTTGTGGTTCAACTAAGTTATTTTATTTATAGACAAAAACAGAATTAGAAATATTCGCATAGCCTAGGGCGTCCCAGAAATGCTCTGAAAATTTATTTTTTTTAATCTTTGGTGTCTCACCCCCTGAAATGTGTCTCTTGGGTACAATGAGTGAATTGGTGAAGTTGTAGCTCATTTGAACAACATTTAGAGGTCCCCCAAGAGCTTTTAAAATTCCAGTATTAGGCCAACATAAAAATCCAGACGAATCGTGGCTCAAATAACTTGCAGTTTTTGCATGCCATATATGAATAAAATGAAGTTTAAATATACTTATATTTACCTCATTGCTACCATTAACTAGAGTTGAAATTGTGTGATTCTTAATTAGAAAATGTAATAAATGCGAGAAAACATATAAAATACCTAATGTGCAAAACTTGTGCATATTTTTTGAAGATTTGATTGTTTTAAACTAAGCATGCTAAATTGTCAGGCTAGAAACAATTATGAAATTATTCTCTACCATACTTATTTGTTATTATTTGCTGCAGTGCTATTGTCACATGACCAAGGTGGCCATCTTGTTTTAAGTTTGCAAGACACCACATGGCATTGTTTTTAAACAATTTTTTTAAACTAGTATTTTAAATACATCTGACACAGTATTTTCCTAGAGCACAATGCATCGTCATCGCAAGCTTCGTCGTCAACAAGCTGCAGCACGTATAAAAGAAGACTATATTCCCTCAAATTCAATTGTTCATTGGGATGGTAAGCTATTGCCCGATGTTACCGGAGAGGTTACCAACAACGTCGATCGATTACCTGTCCTGCTCTCATCACTTGTCGATGGCACTACAAAGCTTCTTGGTGTTCCCAAGTTAGCATCCGGGTCAGGACGGGCAGCTGCTGATGCAGTATATGAACATATCAAATCGTGGAAGTGCGAATCTATGGTCATCGGCATGTGCTTCGACACTACGGCTTCCAATACTGGAAGACTCAATGGAGCTTGCACTCTGTTAGAAGTAGCCCTGGGACGTAATCTATTATGGATGGCATGCCGTCATCACATGTTGGAAGTACTCCTTTCCGATGCATTCAATGTTTGTCTTGGACCATCCACTGGACCAGAGATTTTGTTTTTTAAGAGGTTTCGAGAAAAATGGCAAGAATTAAACCACACACCCGAAGCCAGATCCGCCCCTTTTATAATCGTGTCCGATTCGATTAAAGAATTTATCAAATGTCAACTTGAGGTCAGTCATTCACGTGATGATTATTTGGAATTTCTTCTGCTTGCTGCACAAATGGTTGGGTTGGAGGTTGATGTCAGCATTCGCAGACCTGGTGCCCTACATAGGGCAAGGTGGATGGCGAAAGCAATCTATGCATTGAAAATCGAACTATTGTTTGCAGGCAACGAAACCATCTTTCAGTTAACAGCTCGAGAATTACAAGGTATTCAGCGCTTTAATCGGTTTATCATATGTGTTTATCTTCAATCATGGTTTTCATGCAGGCTCACCGCAGATGCACCTGTGAATGATATCTTGTTGATACAGCGTTTATACGAATATGATGATGCTGTTCTTCGATCGACTGGATTGAAAATGATGGTGCGTCACTCTTGGTACTTGAGTCCGGAACTGTCGACGCTTGTGTTATTTTCAACCCTTTTGTTGGACAAAGAAAAAACTGGCCTTGTTCGGACAATGCAATCAGAACGTGGACCGCATCTCATAAAAACACTACCAAAAAGTGTTGTTGATTTGCGTGCTTCTACCACATTTTTTAAACATCCAACATTGATGCCAGTTTTCTAGATGTTCCTGTTGAAGCATGATCAGATACTCCATCTTTTAAAGTTGCAGCAGATTTTGTAAAGAATCTGGCTTGTATCAATGACTATGCAGAGCGAGGTGTAGCATTGATACAAAATTTCAATGACAGTATCACCAAGGACGAAGAACAAAAACAATTTTTGCTCCAAGTGGTTGACAAACATTGGAAAATTTTTGCAGATAATAATCGTGAACAGCTGGCTAAAATTTAAATTTGAAGAACTTTTTTAAATTTTTGTCTACCCTACATTACAAAGTACAAGATAAATATTAGGAATGCTTAATTGCATTGCTTATTATTATTTTTCAAGCAGATTGACATTCTTTCAAGAATTAACTTGTCAAAATGAATAAAACTTTGTTTTTCATAATTTTTTACTTAAATTTCAAATTTAAAAATATAAACCATTCAAGATTTATATATTTTGTTTCATTTAATATTATAAACAATACTAAGCATCAATTTGTTATGTTAACAGCTCGAGAATTACAAGGTATTCAGCGCTTTAATCGGTTTACCATATGTGTTTATCTTCAATCATGGTTTTCATGCAGGCTCACCGCAGATGCACCTGTGAATGATATCTTGTTGATACAGCGTTTATACGAATATGATGATGCTGTTCTTCGATCGACTGGATTGAAAATGATGGTGCGTCACTCGTGGTACTTGAGTCCGGAACTGTCGACGCTTGTGTTATTTTCAACCCTTTTGTCGGACAAAGAAAAAACTGGCCTTGTTCGGACAATGCAATCAGAACGTGGACCGCATCTCATAAAAACACTACCAAAAAGTGTTGTTGATTTGCGTGCTTCTACCACATTTTTTGAAACATCCAACATTGATGCCAGTTTTCTAGATGTTCCTGTTGAAGCATGGTCAGATACACCATCTTTTAAAGTTGCAGCAGATTTTGTAAAGAATCTGGCTTGTATCAATGACTCTGCAGAGCGAGGTGTAGCATTGATACAAAATTTCAATGACAGTATCACCAAGGACGAAGAACAGAAACAATTTTTGCTCCAAGTGGTTGACAAACATCGGAAAAATTTTGCAGATAATAATCGTGAACAGCTGGCTAAAATTTAAATTTGAAGAACTTTTTTAAATTTTTGTCTACCCTACATTACAAAGTACAAGATAAATATTAGGAATGCTTAATTGCATTGCTTATTATTATTTTTCAAGCAGATTGACATTCTTTCAAGAATTAACTTGTCAAAATGAATAAAACTTTGTTTTTCATAATTTTTTACTTAAATTTCAAATTTAAAAATATAAACCATTCAAGATTTATATATTTTGTTTCATTTAATATTATAAACAATACTAAGCATCAATTTGTTACTTAATATATCAGTTTCGCATATAATGCAACATTAACGCTGTATTAGATTTGACCGCGAATGATTTTACACCAAAATCTGGAACTTTAAACCTCTTGGGGGACCTCTAAACATTGTCCAAATGAGCTGAAATTTTGCAGGTTAACTACTGTTACCATACTCATACAGACATATTCTGTGGGGTGAGACATCAACATTTCAAAACTTCATTTTTTTGGGACGCCCTAGCATAGCCATTGGCATAAGATGCCTAGCCAGACTTCATAATCATAAAATCTGTAAAATATGTAATCCATGTAATTTAATTAATGTGCAACCATGCGTTAGTAAGAGTCATTGATAAATAAAATATAATATCATTTTAATTGTGGACCCTGAACTCTGAACTGTCACTGAAGCCCATGAACAAATAAGTAATAAGAAATAATATCACGAATGACAAATTAAATAAAAAAATATGAAAATGAATGAATGAATAATTAGAATATGATTACCTTTGCCTTTGTTTAAAAATAGTAGTCTTATTACAGTTTTAACTTTTAGTCACCAAATAAAACGTCATTGACGAGTGATCTAATTTACCACTTGAGCGTCGGCCAGGAAAAAATCCAGTTGTTCCGGTTTGAAGGGCTATTTAAACAATTATTCTTATCTTGTTTTATATATTATAATTTTAAGTCTAAGTCAAAGTCTACATTTCTAAGAGTCTAAGCCTAAGTAGATGATTTTTAAAAGGCATTTCCATGGTCTAAGTCTAGTTCTGTATTCTGATTGATAAGGTTTTTATATGTTGCTATGACCATGTGGTTGGCTTTACTGACTAATTCAGGAAATACATTCTATCTATTTTTAAAAAAAATATATATATAAAATTATAATAAGCTATGACTGACATATCTGCTGTTTTCTAACAATACACATTGGGCATTGCAGTTTTTTTCATACGAAATAATTTGGGACCGGACTTCGGAGGATTGTGGTTTATTATCTATTATCATTTCTAATCCGGTTCAGAAAGAAATTCACTAAACTAAATAGTAAAACAAAATAATGCGTTCAAAAAGCAATTTGACGCAAAATTTGATTATGTGAACTGAAAATAAAATTCGACGAACTTCAGTTCGATCAAACTTCCGTCGATCAATTCTCCGTCGACGAAATTTCTTTCAAACAAATTTCCGGATACGGGATTTTACTGGAATATCCTTTGACTTTGTGTTCTTCAGAATCTAATCTGTTGACTTCGAGCTGCCTGGAGCCGCTGTACTAGAATTTAGACAAAACCATATGATTATTTTTTTTTCTGTGTCTATTGAAAATTATATTTTTTGTCGTTTGTGCTGTCCAAAAAAATAACGTTTCCGAAAACATACTATCTGACTAAAGTCCATCCATGATTTTAAAAAAAAAATCGTAACAATCTGATTAATATTGAAGGTTCTTAATTAGTATTTCATCTAGAGACCGAACGAAAGTGATTTTCTGATTTCGGCTGAAGCCGAAATTAGACTAAAGTTAAAAATGACGTTCGGCCAAAATCTAAAACCAAAAGCCTAAAGTGATTTTCCCTGAAACCGAAACTATAATATTTATATATTTTGAAATTCGTTCATGCATACATTCTACATACATCGATTGTGGAAAGTATCAAAATTTAAATATATTTTTTAAATGAGACCATCGTGAATATTAATAAATAAACATCTAATGAATACTTTGACTTTTACCATTTAATTTAAAAGTAATTTAAATTTCTTTTAAAATGTTTTTTTTTTTTTTTAAAGCGTTATGATAAGAGAAAATTTGGACCGGAGGCGGGAGGGAGCGACTGAGCGAGGCAAAATTCATGAAAAATAGACCCTTGAGTGCCCTTGGCTTTTAAAATATAATTACAACCTAGAACCTGATAATACCTACAATATTATTTTCGCTTTAATAGAGTCAATAAATATCATTTAAAAGCTATTCAAATATCATAATTTTTCACTGTTATCGTCATACTAATGTTTTGTGTTTTCATTAAATAGCTGGCCAGATATCCCTGAATTAATATTTATTAGCCTAATGCTAACACATTAGTATTTCCGTGCTGGTGACGTAATTATTTCGTTCGGCAACCAATCTCCCTAACCCCCACTTGTTGTATTGGCGGGTCTCGATGAATCGCAAAAGACATGCAAATTGTCGCCAACGTCATATAAACAGGTTTGCAGTAGGCCTACTACATAATTATAATACTAACTCGTAATATACATGCACACGCGTGTTATTTTGTCAATAACAATGTTTATGAGCATGATTAAAATGAATTTCAAGACATGAATGCATTGAAAAAGCCTAAGTTTCCTTTTTAAAAAAAAAAAGGTAAAAAATGAAACGAAAATAATAATGGAAATATTACCAATTCCTAGGATTTTTCAATATTATTCACCTTTGCCTATGACAAAATTGATGCGCATGATAATGATTAATCAAAATGAATATCACAAAAGGAGGAATTGAATTAACATAGAGTTCCAAATTTTTATTTTTGAAAAAAATATAACAAAATCAATGATATAAATATTACCATGCCATTAGTTTTACTTCCACAAAACTGTTTACATTTGCCTAGGCCTGATTGAAATTTAATTTTTTGGAAATATAGGACAAGTAAGTCATCAAACAGCTGTGAGCAGTTTTCCCAGAGTATTAATCATATAACATCCGATGAAGCAAGACGTCGAGCAGTAATGAATATCGGATTGCCGGCAGACACGAAAGTCTCAATCGCTTTCGGCCGAAACTGAAACTAGGCCGAAAGGGATCAAGTGGTAACTTTCGGCGCCGAACCGTAATTCGGCGGTCTCTAAATCCATCGTTATAAGAAATAAATAATAATTTTTCAATGGTTTTTTGACATAATTCAACATGGCCCCCTTTGATAATCCCACCGAACCTTTCTCAAACATGACATATAACACTTAACTATCTCTGCCAGGTGGTAAAGAACCAATTTGACAACCACTTAACATAAATTTGGTTTCGTCTCAGGAGGATGTAAGCAGCTGCACAGTATACAGTATGACATTGTATTCTTTCACTTTTAATTCTGCAATACAAAAATCCGATGTACCTGTATTTCAATTATGTCATTTTAATTAGTAGACGACATTTTTTTCTGATTTCTTAAAATATTATATCAACATTCACTGCTTATGTATTTATTTTCCCGATATATTTCATTTGTAGTAAAACATGTCCTAAGTTCTGAGTGTGTATGTTTTTTTTTTTTTTATAAAAATCTTTTTGGGGTGGGGAATAAATTCTTCGCTGTTGGCAAGGTACGGAGAGTGGAAAACTTACCAGAATTGCAAAGTGATTTTCTTGAAGTCTGTGTTCCTTAACACGACCCCTTTCTGTGGAAAAATAGGTGAGGACTTGTTTATAAAACGTACTAACTATAATAACTAGTAATAACTCCAAATTACGGGCAAAAATAAATGTAAAAATAATGTAAACATTAGAAATAAGTAGTATGAAACATACATTTAAATAATATTAACTTAAAATATGTCCCTCGAAATAGCTACCTTGTTTAATTTTTTTTATAATACATCTAGCATATTTATATTTGACATCAGTCGATCTTCCTGAGACGATGGATTAGCTCATGGACACTTTCTTGAATGGCTTAAGAGGCCGATCCTGGAATCGCGGGCTCAGCTGCTATTCTCGACGGAGAACCTTGACTTCTGCTTTACTTTGGCTTTCCTTAATGCTCTTTTTATTGCTTCAGCCTCATTTCGCGCATCTTCTGTCACAAATACTGCTGTTTGCCAGCCAGAACTACGATAAGCAATGATCTCCCATCCACCAATTTCGATGTTGGCTTCACTCGTGTTTCTTTTGCATACGTCCATAAAGAACAGCCTCGGGGTCCAATAAGTCGTGTCCCACTCTGACTATTCTCCCTACAGCATGTCCTTTGTGATACGACCTTCCATCATTATCGTTACATGCCCTAACCTGTAAAGGCAGCTTTTACTAAGAGCCGAGAACATGCTGCACAGTTAATCGCGTTCCAGAACCTCTGTACTAGGCACTTTTCCCAGCCATCGAATGCATAAAGTGCACCGCAGACATCTTTGGTGGAAGCTGTTGATTTTCCGTTTGTGACTGTTGTATATGGTCTAAAATTCATTCCAATAAAGCAGGGTACTGAGCACACATGCCTAGTAGAGGCTTAGTTGTTTTGATTTTTTGTTGCTTTCAGTGAGTGTGTTACACGCCCGCTTTTTCAATTTCAAGCATACATACTATTAGCAATACTACAGCGAAAATGATATTTATTATTGCTCCACGGCCCCCCACCCCCTCTAAAAAAAAGACCAAAGACCAATATTTATCTAAATTAAATATTGTACTTTTCATGAGGTCAAGCCGATATTAAAAATTCCTTCTATGTAGTGATCTAAAAAACTTGAAGGAATGTATCTTATCTAGACACACACACACGCACACGCACACGCACACACACACACACACACACACACACACACACACATACACACAAATTATATATATAATATATATATATATATATGTGTGTGTATATATATTGACATAAGATCTAAATTCTTAAGCTTCGCCTCAGTAGAACATACTGTGAAGATGTAGAGCGAGACAAAGCCAAGTGACACTTGACTCACGTGAAAAGCAAATCTGAAGAGTACCGATGGCGAGTAATAAAAGAACCAGCCGTTGAAGGTCAAGTGCATTGACAGGTTAGTGCTGCAAGCAGAGCCATTCTTGGGATTTTGGGCACCCTAGGCATGGAGCGTTGGTAGGGGGCCCCGGAAGGAGGGGTACGGGGGACGGAGCTCCCCCGGAGCTGAGGAGAAAACACCACCCATCACTGCGGCACCGCCATTATGCCTTCGTCACTGTTTCCTCTTTGTTCGGGTGTAACCACTAACCATACTGATAATTCCGCCACTAGGGAAAATGTGTACTTCTGAAATATTTGGACTTTCAAGTTGTAGGCTAAAAAAAAAAGCGCCCGGTGGAGACCCCCTTGGCAGAGGGGCCTTTGGCAGTCGACATTTTTTGCCTATGCCTAAGAACGGCTGGCTGCGAGTTATTACCGATGACTTTAGTGAGAGGTCGAACAGAATTATCAAATGCAACAAGAGGTAAAAATCTGAGCTCAATACCGAAGGAAAGAATGAAAAGCAGGCATGCAAAGTCAAACAATACGGAGAGAAGCTATTCATTTTGTTGAAGATCTTGTTAGTGCTCATGTATTCTGACACTTAACATCTTATGCACTTCCTGTTGTTCTAAGAATCCTAATCGTGGGAGAGAGCACCAAAATAGAATTTCAAAAAAGTCAGAAGGCGCTTTGATTCAGCCATCATGTTTTGAAGTATCCACGATGAACATTGAAGATCCATTCAACGATGCTATACCAAAGTAAATAGAAATTGCGAGGAGGCAATTGATTTTCCTGATTTGGTAGTTCGCGTCTTCTAATTCAAGGTGAAGCTAAAGTAATATAGTGGTGATTTATCAGAGCATTATATATTAAAAAAAAAAAAAATCAGCCCAGTGTTTAATCTATCGAATTTCAAAAGCATGGTTTGTGAAATACACAATGTTTTATCACGCATTGAGCAGAGGGGAACTTTCCAATGCCTAAATTTTAATGAATTAATGATTTTTTGTTATGTTCAGCAATACCAAATGCTTCAAAATGTACCCAATTTCAGGAAGATTCACATGCTCCAATATACATGGACTCTACGAGATCACCAATCACTATGCTCCATGAATGGAAGATGGAGTCTGTCAGAAGAAATTTTACAGTCATCCATTCAAGAGAAAATCTCATAAAAAATGTTATTTTCTTACTCTTCGTTGCTGCGCACTTTAGGATTAAGTAAGAGACTGTGACGGCGATGGAAAGTCGTTATGTTGTACCCTAAAATCTATTTCTGCTACTTAAGTATTATATAAAAATAATGCTTATCTAAATATTGAGATCTGCAATCTGTTACAGCCAACAAGTACATCTACAGATACAGCATGAAAGATTCGATTATGTAAATAAAGCTATCGTGACTGGAGGACAACAGGAGCTGATCAACAATGACATAAGACATCAACAATTTTACACATGCTCCGTACATCGGTGCTCCAGAGGCAATGTGGAGGCATCTGAAAACATGTATAACCGATCCCACTCTTCATGCGATTTCTACTGCATCAGTAGCGTAACCGGAGGGTGGAACAGCTCCCCCGCGACCATTTTTTTTGGGTGCAAAAGTGGGTTCTTTTCACAAAATTATTTTATATTTTCCAATTATTAATGTAACCACTCAAAAGCGACATTTATTTGCACCATATATTCGTTCACCTAGCATTGAAAGGTCTCTCCTCTTAGACGTAACGTGGGCTTGTCATTAAAAAAAAATACTGATAACTGATTGTATTTGTATAATTATACAACTAAAAAAAAAGGTTTTAGTTGATTTAGTTTTTCCCCCCGTTATATTTGATTAGTTAGCACAGTGGTTTTCAACATGATGGTCGCAACCCCTTCAGGGTTGGGGTTGGGGGGGGGGGGGGTTTTTGTTTCCTTAAAATTAAAAATTTTATTCCAAAAAAAAAAAAAAAAAAAAAAAAAAAAAAAAAAAGAAAGCATTTTTTTGGTTTTCAAAAGGATGGGCGCAACCCCTTCAGGGTTGGGGTTGGGGGGGGGGGGGTTGTCGTTGCCTGAAAATTAGAAATGTCATACCAAAAACAAAAAACAAAAAAATAAAAAAAAATAACGGAATGCATTTTTTCTGAAATTTTACCACCCTCCATTGTTTGATGATTATGGTCATTGGACAAGTTTACACTTTCTTTTTCTCCCTATAATTCTATTACTTTTCGTGTATCGGGATACTCGAATGCCCTTGAATGGTAGTGAAGAACGATCTTGTGTCAGCAGATTTCCTTATTGAGACTTTTATGTGCTGCGAGCAATGCTCAAATTAACTTCTCGTTGAGATGCCTATTCTTTGCTCAACTTTGTTGGAATCGATAGTCAATTCGGGAGTGTCGAATCAACCCAAGTACAAATGAGAGATCTTTTGCCAGTTTGGGGGCCTGCGACAAGGGATCAAATTCTTATTTATTTATTTCAATTTCATTTTTTAAAATTTTTTTTTTTGGGGATGGGGGCGGGGGCGGGGTGATGATTTGATCTTGAATGTACTTGCTAACTGTAATGGATATGTTTAGAAGGATAGTTACCTGCATGCAAGTCTCCTGTGTTGAGCGGACATTTTAGAAATACAGTCACACAACTTGGAAAAAAAAGAGTTCATCGTCAATTTAGACCTTGATCGTTTTTTACTCTCAATTTTATGCTTTGCAAAAGGAAAAGGACGATACATACATGCTTGTCCAAAGGGCAGGGGCGTCACTAGGTGGTGTGGATTGCACCTAGTGACAAACTCCACAGCAGGTAGGCCAAGAGAAAGAATTCAAATTTTTCATATCGCTTTTCGATTTCCTAACATATCTCAGGTTGTTGTTTTTTTTAAAGAGAAGGTTACTTCCAGAACAATGGCGTCGCTAGAGTTTGTAAGGGTTCATGTGGATGACTGGGAGGGGGGGGGGAGTTTGGAGGATACCATTTATTTACCGCACCCGTTAACACCAACCATAGTGACGCCACTGCCAAAAGTCAATTGTGCAAGGTGAGGTAATTATTGCTAATATAAACATGATCAAAATTTAAAAAAAAAATAATAATAATCTCACCATTTCATGGATCTATAACGAAGCAGAAAACTCGAGTAACTTTGTCTTCATTAAGCCACAACTTAAAATGAATCTTTCACTCAAAATTCTGAATGAAGGCTTATCCTGTATCAAAGGGGATTAAAGTATCTTTTACAATTATCATCCAAGCAAAGTTTCCTGATTTTGCATATGCTCCTCCATGATCTAATGTCAGGAGCATCTGTTTATTTCTATGGCCATCTTCATAATTATGTCTTAAGGGAGCTAAATAAATTTTTGATGGATGCGTTTTCTTTGTTTCTATTTTCTGTCTTCTTTCCCCAGCGATGAAATGGAATCTGTTATTGTCAAATCAGCTTTGTTTAGCGAGCCTCTCTCTTTTGTCTGGGATGTAGGGGATGAACTCAGTCGATGTGGACACCTGTTAAAAAAAGAAAAGTAAAACAATTTTAGAAAAACAAAATAATTTAAGAACACGTTAGAGCGGTGGTTCATAAAGTGTGTGATATCTACCCTAAGGGGCTGTGAGAGATGGGGGTGGCAGGGCGGGGGGCTGTAAAAAGCTCAGTATCCAAAGATGGTGGTGGGGATTACAGTGGAATAACTTTTTTTTAAAATTAAAATTATACAATTAAAAAATTTATTTAAAAATTATCGATCATTATCGGCCTAGAAAATAGAGTCATGACAAATCTATGTAAAGTTGTAAATTAATCAAGTTGTTTTGATGAATAGCTCATTCAAAACATCAGTAAAACATTACAAGGAGCTATTTTTAAAAAAAAGTTACTTATTAATATTAAGGCGAAATCACATACTGGACACAAGTATTGAAATCACTTTAAATAGGAGCCGCCGACATAGCGCTATAGACACATTCACTGGATTCAGAAGTTAGAAATTAAATCATCAAGTTTATCTACTCTGCTGGTTCCGCATACAATGTCAGTTTTTCATACGATTATCTATTTTACATTTATCGAGAGCGATGCTTTGACAGAGATGGACATGCTGACAGGTCACCTTGTCAGAGATGGCCATGCTGACAGGTTACCTTGTCAGAGATGGCCATGCAGACAGGTCACCTTGTGGCAGAGATGGCCATGCTGACAGGTCACGTTTTCAGACATGGCCATGCGGACAGGTCACTTTGTCAGAGATGGCCACATCGACAGGTCGAATCTAAATATAAGTATCATTTTATTTTGTGTCCGTTTTCATGAAAGTTTTTTAGTCTTGGCACAGAAGTCAATTGAACGTCCTTTTCATAAGTCGGAGAATAGCGTCGAATGTGCGATTGACTCCCGGTAGTTATCATTTTTTTGAAAACGTAACCACTAAAAACAGGTTGATGCCGCATTAAAAAAAAAGTATTAAAAAAATATTCTTTACTTTTAATTGTTTCATTAAGTGCCAAAATCTGGTAGATAAAAACGGAAAGTATATTTATTTTAACAGTTGCAAGTGTGTAAGTCTCGTGTGTAAGTTGAGTGTGTAACGTCAATTTATAATCATATGGGATATGATGTCAATCTTATTAAACCTAACGAATTAACTGTACCTTCACTTCTCAAATTAACTCTATGTTCCAATCTAAATTAACTCCGATTATTAGGGATATTGTCCAATATTCAATCCCGTCGGACCTTAATGAGAAAGGTAGGGGATGTTAAGATGGCAAATGGCTTCACTAGGTTTGGGGTTGGTGTTACCCAGTGTGGTAAACCCATGGTGCCCAACTCCTCCTTACCAGACCTCCCCACACACCTCATTGTGTCTGCCGCGTCTGGTGGATACCTTTTCAGTTTTGCAACTTGACCTGATACACTTTCTCGTGGCATCTACTCTGATGTCACACTTATCTGCCACTTGACACCTAGTTGTGGTGACAACCTCTGTCCCCATTTTCTTGTGGCAACCTGCAGTGGTGAGACTGTTCTGGTGGCCACCTGTTCTTGTGGTACCTTGATTTAGTGATACCCTGCTAATGTTCATTTTTGAAATGAGATTGAGTGAACATTATCAATTTACTATTTCGCAGTTGGTATCATATTCCTGCGAGGGTGTCATCCGGTGCGGTCCACAGCCCATAGTGACGCTACTGCTTAAACATCTTGTGGCCATTTTAATATGGTACATACAATTATGTATGAGTGATCATCCGATATTCATTAATTGATTTTTAGATTTGGGTATAAATCCATGTTGAGTTTAGATGAATTGGATTGTCTTGATGAATAGCTCATTCCAAGCTTAACCCAAAGTTTCAGAGATCGTACTTGGATGTTTGATTGCGGAAGTAAATTTAATACATTTCATGTCATTATTTTACACTATGGAAATTGGTCAATAAAATATCTCTTGCAAAGAAATATAAGCAATATTTCTGAAAGTTTTGATTTAAGAGTGTTGTAAAAGAACCCTACCAAAACATAAAGTGATCATATTTGCGTGATGTATAAATAATAGAATATTACTAAGTGCGTATAATAATCTTACTTTAAATAATATGTGCTTATCATAATAATATTTAATCAATTTATTCCTGAATTAAATAAAGTTAATTGTTTTTAATATTTTAATTAAAAGCTCAATTACAAATAAGAATATAACATTTTATTGTGTTCTTATCTTCCTTTAAAAGTTGTTATAAATATTGTCATGAATAATACATTATTTTGGGAACATAGAGGGGAGCTAGGAATGGTTTTATAACTTATTACTGCCCCTCCCCAGAAATGGTTTGATAAATTTAAATTGCAGGGATGCATTTTGGCCCATACCTGAATTTAGATTTCCACCATTCTACATTATTCTACACTTACTCGGAGAACAAGAAGAAAGATGTTAGGGGGGATTTACGTGTCCTTTAATATGAGTGTCAAATCCTTCATTTTTAATTGTAACTAATTAGTTACCAGTATGCTGTTTTATAATTTTTTATACTTTATTTCAAGTATTTTGTTGCTGAAACTACTTCAATAAAAAATGATTTGGGTGTGCTTAAAATTGGTTTAAAAAAAAAAAAGATACCCTGTCATGCAAACGAGATGTAAAATAAAAGACAAGAAACTGTACAATTCTGCTCTTTGTTGGGGACTAGTTCTATTCAGTTTGTTTAGGTTAAACCTGGCTACTTTTTGTTTTTTCTTCATCATATTTCTGTGAACTAACATTATTTTAAACAATATGGAAGCATGATGTCCCTAGAAGCGTGTCTTAGTGGGATTCATTGGGCAACTTCCCAGTATCGCCATGACTTAAAAGACAGCCATGCCCCAACCCGCTCCCCCTAAAAAGAAGAAAAAGAACAAGCAAAAAAAACTCAATAAATACAAGAAAACATCTATACAAAACAAAATCAACATAGGCCTATTTTAAAAAAAAAAATTAATATATTAATACATATATTTATATTAAATATATATATGTGTGTTAGAATTGTTTGGGGATCTCCGATTAACGCAACTTTTCCCCAATTATTTTGTATCTTTCAAACTGGCATAAATTTAAAGAAGCCTATATTATATTGAAATATGTTAAACCCAGATTATATATGTTTATATACGCTAATTATTTTTGGCACACGATTAAATCATAAGAATTCAAATAACAAAGGAAAATAAATGGATGCGAATCAACCACGTGGCACATGCCGGCATAATATAACCTTCAATCTCAGCATCGACACGCCTTTACTAAGCCTACAACTGCAATGTATGTTGCGTGACTTTCACTCGCTTGCAATTTAAAACAAAATAGTTTTTCATCGCAAATGCATAGTGATTTCGAATATTAGCGTTCTTAACCAGACAAAGAAGCCGGCTTTAAGGGCATAGGTCATGATGGTGGGCAAATGTCGAGCGATCGAAATGCCTTCCTTAATTTGTTCATCTTAAAAGTTAGATAAGTTAGAGGTCATAAATAAGTGTTTTTTTTTTCGAACTGTTACATTCTTCAGCAATTATTCACGCAGCAAAAAAGTTAAACCTAAGCCTCTCCAACCTTCCCCATGAGATAACAATGAATAGCCTATGGCTTAAGCACACACAATCACAGTCGAACGTATGAAACTCTTTGTCGGGCCGGTTACTGACCATGAAAGTCACGAATTAAGGCCGGCCATTTCATTTTAAATTTATAATATAGATAACGATTTTTATAACAGTAAATACGATTTTTGTTACCTGAAACTTTGAATAAATTACGAATCTTGGGCGTTTCTACGAGAAATGGGACAAAACAACAAGGGATTACACCAACCTAAAAGTGGTGAGGAATTATGGGTAACAGTAATAGGAAATGACATGTTACGAACATTAGAACACTAAAACTTGTTATCAGGCCTACTTGTATTTTAATTATTCTATTAAAACTAATAAAATACATCTAAAGATAATTACTGTTTTAAGCAAAAGGCTTATTATGGGGATTTTGGGGGAATTTTACTTTTTATTTTTTTTTTTGATTTAGATTGACCTCTTTGTTCGTCAGGCTGTGCCAGTGGCGTCATTTCAGTTTTTTTCCCAAAACAAAACTTGTTCGGCTTGTTCAAGTTTATTACTCCAGGCGCCAAAGTACATAGCTATTAAAATAAAACCTGCAAAGTCGGGGGGGGGGGGGGGCAAATGCCCCACCCAGCCCTACCAAAATGACGCCCCTGCGCTGCGCCAAAAATGTCAAACATATGTTCTCGAATAGATCTTTATTTTTTTCATTTTTTACCTAATAAAACCTGAAAAGTCGGGGGGGGGGGGGCAAATGCCCCACCCAGCCCTACCAAAATGACGCCCCTGCGCTGCGCCAAAAATGTCAAACATATGTTCTCGAATAGATCTTTATTTTTTTCATTTTTTACCACTTAGGTGTCGCTGTCCATAATCCGTGCTTAAAAAAATCAATCTTTAACTTAGATAAAATAGCATTGTAGGCCAGCGATGTCCATAACTTCTGTCACTAAAAACAGTTTATTTGGTTATTGGACTCCTCTGTTTTTTTAAAAGATTGTATTTCGTATACTTAGATCTAACCATATACACAGGAACATATTCTGTAATTTGTAACAGATATTACACTTTCTTTTTTTGTTTTTCCATATTTCGGTTCTTTATTTAGTGTTACGGCAATTAACGAATACAGGATGTTGCAACGTACTGGAAATAAATTCGGATATTCCTCAGATGACGAAGGCTAAAAATAAATTCAGAAATCACTCTCATTGACATTCGGTTGTTATTGTTTAAAATAAAGGAGATTTGGGATATTCCTCAGGTGACGAATGTTAAAAATAATTGACATTTGGTTTTTATTGTTCACAATAAGGCAGATTTAGGATATTCCCAGATAATGAAGGCTAAAATAATTGACATTTGGTTATTGTTTAAAATAAGGGAGATTTAGGATATTCCCCAGGTGACGAATGTTAAAAATAATTGACATTCATTTGGTTGTTATTGTTCAAAATAAGGCATATTTAGGATATTCCTAAGGTGATGAAGGTTAAAAAATAATTAAAGTTCGGTTCTTATTGTTTAAAGTAAAGGCAAGGGAGGCTTGGGAAATTTTGAGGGATGGTATTATCGGCATGCTGCAAAGTTTTATCGTGGGAAAAAAAAGGGTGGGGGCGCAAAATTCAAGGCCCGCCCCATCGGTGATAACCCTAACTAAGTTACTGGGCAGGTGAAAAATAATGAAACGAAATATTGAAGAAGAGCCCCTCATCTGCGAACACAAATGTGAAAATAAGGAACAAAATAAAAATAAAGTAACAGCCTAAAATAAAGTATTAGAGAAGATGTGACTCCATGACCCGGTGTTACTCGGGTACTAATGACTTATTGCGAGGTCTCAACTACGTATTTTACTGAATCGGGTGTTGATTTTTTATATCCTCAAAAACAAACAAACAAACAGCAACAACAACAAAAAAAAAAAAAAAAATCTGACTTTTCCAATGAAAATTATAGGCCTATTTTTAGAAAACAGTAAAGCAAACTTTCCTGGTGTTACTCGGGTACTAATGACTTATTGCGAGGTCTAAACTACGTATTTTACTGAATCGGGTGTTGATTTTTTAAATCCTCAAAAACAAACAAACAAACAGCAACAACAACAAAAAAAAAAAAAAATCTGACTTTTCCAATGAAAATTATAGGCCTATTTTTAGAAAACAGTAAAGCAAACTTTCCATAGTTTTAAAGTAGCATCTATGTCTGTGTGTAGATATTGACGTTTCTATTATCATTGGGTTTTGAGACATTTTTTATATTCCATATAAAAGATGCTTGTCCAATCCTTTTTCACGCCTATGATCTTCAGTTACTAAAAAGAAAACATATTTTTAAATTCGAAATGTAATATATTTACCAATTTAAATATCTGTAACATTAACGTATTTGAAATGATATCTTCAATAAAAAAAAAATTACACAAAATTTTGCCTTGCTCCTGAACTATATTTAAAAAAACAGAATTCCTACATCAAAAGAATAACATCTAAACCGACGTTTTGTGCAGTTAACATACATTTAAACTTAAGTTCGCACTATCAAACAACGTTATTTAAAAAAGATTTTAGGGGGGTTTTGAGATATTGGCCAAAGGGAATAGCAGGACGTAATGAAAGTGGAAAATTTCATTTGAGTTTAAATTTAATTTTCAAATATATGTTACACTTTTACATTTAGTTGTGTAATTAATTAACTTAGAGGCTCATGAAAATTTGTATTTTGATTCAGAAAATATTTGTCAGAACGACTTTATTGGCCAAAGGGGGCGATTGTCGGAAAAGTTTGAGAGCCACTGCACTAAATGGATTGATATTAATACATAGTTCTAAATCCTTTAACAGAGTGAAACTATACAGGAACTGTTATATTAGTAATCCCATGAAAACAATATTATTTAGCAATTAATTCCATAAACACTGGTTCAAATAAAAGGACGTGTAAAAAGAGAAGAGGAAGAACACATTTTTTTCTGGTATAAAATCTATAATTTAAACATAAGACATTATGAACCAAAGAGCATTTTGTAAAAATAATGTAGGAAAGTTATGGCTGTCTCGTGCTCAAATATTTTTTTTTTTTTTTACATAACTTTCTGTAAATGAGGAAAACGGAGGAAAATAATTCAGCTTACCGACAATTCAAAGATGCCAATAAGAAATGTCTCAATAGTTGTAACAGTACCACACTTAGTTGATTCTTCAGAACAAGAGAACTTGTATTATAGTCTCCTTTTGCAATACATGCCATAAAATTTGCTACAAGACTTCTACAGAGTAAGAGAGCCTGTCTTGCTCGTGAGGAATCCCTGAAAGAAATCAATGCAGACATGCAAAATTTCAAAGAGTGAGGCAAGACAACTAGAGAATGCATTTAAATTTAAGGAGACACATGCATTCCAGATCGTCTACGACTCATCATCAGTTGATATAAAACACGAATAAGAAAAATAATTATACGAGCAGACAATGAGCGATGAACAGTTACTAAGTGCACAAGAAGCCACGAATCTAGGCCAGAGAGAGTGATTCATCAACATGCTTAGGCAGCATACGGCAACAAATAAAGGTAGTATAACAATCATCGAGAGAAACTTACCACTTCTCAAGAACCAAATTAACCGCTGCTACTGAAAACATGTAGAAGAAGAGCCTATAAAGCCTTTGTCGGGCCGATTTTAGATTACGCATCTTTAGTTTGGGACCCACACAGCCAGAAGAGCATCGAAAGGTTGGAGGCGGTCCAACGACGGGCAGCACGCTTTGTCCTGAACCGCTACAGGAATACCTCTAGTGTTGGCAGCATGCTGGAAACACTTGGCTGGTCACTATTGGAGGAACGACGACGACTATCCAGGTTCTCCATGATTTACACTATAAATTATGGGCTAGTTCACTGCCTCAGCATTAAACAGAAACTCGTCCCTCTCCCCAGAGACAGCAACGAGGCCATAACTGGCAGTTGCGGCACACAAAGACCGTACGCAGTACAGGAACTGCTCATTCCTGCCAAAAACAATCATGAACTGGAACAAACTTATAAATGGAACAGTTGAGCCGACAACACTTGGCACATTTCCGTCTATTGCCTCAGGCCTTCCAAACCCCAGTTCACGATACCCTCGCTGAGTAGCCCTTGCAACCAGTGAAATACTCTCTTCAATACCAGGCGCAGAAATATTGCAAATCACTCTACATACATAGGAGCCAGAATGATCAATAAATTGATAGTGGGCCCTTAAGATATAAAAGAAGAAGAAGCTCGAACATTAACTGGAGTAGCAGCGCGAATAGTAACCGGAAGTACATTACACGGCTTGCTGACGTTGCCATTACAGAAGGATTGTAAATTGTAGCCTTGTCAACATGCCACTCTTGATTGATAACTCCCACAGAACCATGCACCTGCAATGGAAAGAACACTGAGTTCCTCTCTCTTCATAGATTAGATCTCAATGGTTCCCTATGAGATTATATGCACAGGAGACTCACGTCTGAAACAATTAAAAAATAGCTAAGCCTTTTTCGGATGAATCAACGTTCTGCTGTTCGGTGACTTTTTGCCATTACCGCCAGTTAGAGGAAATAAAGTCTTAAATCAAGCGCCTATAGATTATTTCCCGCATTTAACTTGTTGCGCCTATTCCCGCTGGTTAAGTTGGAGCAGAATATGCGACAGCTAAGAGACGCCACATTAACATATATCCTGAATGCTTTTCGTAGGACACGTTACATCTGAGCATTTTGCGGTGTTACTGGGTAAAATTAATGTATGTTTTATAGGGAAGGCTCTGCGGATTTATAACAAATAAGCAAGTAGATGATCATAAGAACGCATTCCTAGAACACTTCAAATGCCGAAATACACAAATATTCAAAGTCATAGCTCAGGACCAGCTGGCTGAATCAGCGCGAAACACCACAGATGTCTACATAAAAAAGTTGTTAACCGCATATATCAACACCACTGGCGTTTGCCGAGGTAGCCGCCTACATTTATGGAAATGAAAGTGATGCACATATCCAACATCGACGTCGCTAAAATGTTGGTGAGCGGCGCAGTGGGGAAACTTACGAAAATCATCTTGCCACACTACCATATAACACAATTTTATTACATGATGCAGACATCCCATCAGTTAAGGTAGATTTTAGGAGAGATGAAATCCACATAATGCAACCAAATCAGTAAAATACACATCCAAATACAGATAAGGGACTGTGAAAAGCAGAATGATTCCACTAATACTAGCATGGGCTCCAACGGTGCATATGATGCAATCCAGAACTGTCAATGATGCTGTAGCACAGCGGTTCTCAGATTGTTTGTCGCGACCCCTTGGGGGGTCGAATGACCCGCCTGCTAATTGATGAGTTGGATGACTTTAAGCTATGTGGACCTTAGCATTGTAACTATGTTAGATCTCTCGATGGTCTGCAACATGTTGATTTAGAATGCTCCAAGCTATCTTAAAGTCGCAGCCTTTTAACAATGTTAGATCTCTGGATGGGCTGCAAATTGATGAGCTGGACTGCTCCAAGCCTTCTGGAACTCATCCTTGCAACAATGATGCGGTAACTGAAATGAACCACATGAACAATTATCGTCCCAGAAACATGAACGCCACTGATCATAATGTAAACCTGTATGCGGGCAAGGCAATACGGGAAGAGAGGAATGCTGCGCGGATCACACAGGCTAACAAGGGTGGTTGAACATGGCCCGAAACCTCTAAGTCTATGAAACAGATATTTTAAAACCATGTTAAATATCTCTGCATCAAGTCTACACCAATAAATAAAACAAAATTCGTGTTACATGTTAAATCAGTGTACATCGTCAACAACCAGTAGAAAATTCTGATGTTACCACTGTACAAGTGATCTCAAATCACCGTAAATCATTTCAAATCTATCAGGCCACTTAAATAATAATTAGAATAATTGTTACAACAATAACACTAGTTGGCCACAATCATAAATCGGTTACAACTTATGTCCAGACTAAAAAGTATACAATTAAATTATTTTACACAAAACTTTTTAAAACCACGCTTTTAAAAAATAAAATAAAATGAACTAAAAAATACAGAACGATTATTTGAATCACAACCAGGATTTTCTTACAATTTAAACACTTACGACTTTTTCTGTCTAATTAACACTGTCTATACGACTGTAAGAGTAAGACAATGAAAAGTTGACGTTTATAAATTTTCCCTTGAAACAGCAATGATGCTCTATCATTTGCTCTATCAAGTCCCCAGTTCCCAGTTAGTTGGTCATGCAGCTTAATGCTAATAATAAAAGTATTAGTTTACAAAATCATATCGGACATCTGCAGACTGCTTCAGTTTAGGTGAAAATTGAATAACATATACGCATTATTATTAACAAGTCAGATTGGGAAAACCAGTTATACAATTATTACTTGACATTACATATTCCCTAGCTTTACTATTTTGGAAGCTGACTGTACCTGACTTTTTCATCTTCTTGATTTTTGTCATTGATCAATACTGTTAGCCCATGGGCCTCTAGGGGCACAAATCCGGGTGTGCTATAATCACTAAAAATAGGCGATGATTTCAATGAATAGACATACATGTGTACCTATGTTGTATATGCTTAGTGCCTCCGACTAAGTATCATACCAAGGAAAACTTAGATTGCAAACCAGTGATGGATTTACTTACCTTTAAGCTAAATAAGCTAAAGCTTAGGGCCTTACAAGCCGATATATATATATATTTTGAACATTTTCTTTGACCAGCTGATGTAATTTAAAATGCTTTAGGTCAGGGGTCTCAAACTTGTGGCCCGCAGGCCATTTGCAGCCCGCAAGACGATATTTTGCGGCCCACTGTATGACAACAGAGTTTAGTGTTAGTGTGACTTTCCGCGACGGTTTCATTCGAATTTCAGCGACTTGTCTAATTCTGATTGTGATATGTTTGTATAGATTAGAACGTTGATTATAATGGTAAAAACCGTTTTAAAATCAGACAAATGAATTTTATTTTATAGCATTTTATGAGACATGCATCGCCAAAAGCGGTTTTGAGAAAAGTATAAAAAGTAAGTTAGTAGGTAATGCGCAACCATAATTGTGTAAATCATAGCAATCTGACAGAGTATCAAACAATCCCTGTTAATATTGCCGCTAGTGTTTACGAGTGAGGATAATTCCGAGCCTGTCCGCTTGGTCACTTTTAAAATATTGTAAGTCAATGAGGCATTTCTACGATAAAAATAAAAATTCATTTTCCCTACAATTGCACCTTCCTTCGCATCAATATAATTCATAAATTAAATATTGCCTGCTCCTGCCTACTGTTTGAACACATTTAGCATGTAAAGCCTTTATGGAGAAGGATAGGTTGGTTGTTCCTGTACTAAGTGATCCCAAATGGCTCATGGGCTTGGATTTTGTTGTAGCCGTTACACAGGACCTGAATGTATACTCAACAAGAAGTTACAAGACCAGGGGCAGCTGTAGTGTTGCCTATGACAATGTCAGGGCATTCTGCACAAAATTTGTGTTATGGTTCTCAGAGAACCCTTTGCCATTTCCCAATAATTAAAGACTCATTAACTCGGGTACACCATTCAGTAGTAAGTATATTGATGTCTTTGGAAAATAAACAGGAAGAATTCGATCACATGTTTATAGACTTAAAAACACACAGAGCCATTTTAAAATTTTTTGCTGACCCTTTCTTCTTCAATGGGGAAGACGCCCCCCCCCCTCCCCCGCCTTTTTTCACTTTTAATGGAGCTGATCAGTCTTCAGTGTAATTCTACGTTCAGGGATGTGAATAGAAAAACAGACAAGCATGGACAATTTATGAGAGCATTGCCCTTCACCTTCCCTGAGATTTCCAGGTTGTTCAAGCGAATCATTTGTGTTTTTGGGAGTACCTATCTGTGTGAAAAGCCCCTTTTCCATTAAGAAGTTGAACAAGTCAAAAAAAAAATCTTCAAGCTATACTGAGGGCCTCAGTTGCTTCCTCGCTCAAGCCAAATGTTGCTCAGCTGTGTAAGAAGAATCGCTGCCAGGTCTCTGGCAACAATGAGTAGGAGAGAAGATTAGTTTTTGAAAAAACTTAATATTTTTATTTGTAATTAATAATGGTTGAGCAGATTGTAACAGTAGTACTTTATCGAATTTGAAATCGCATTTTTTGCGAATATCTGATACGGCCCAGTCTCACCCAGACTCTACCTACTGGATGATTTGAGTTTGAGACCACCGCTTTAGGGCCTCAGCAAGTCTAAGTCCAGCCCTGGTGTAAACACATCATAAAGTTCAAAGTCATAAAGTCAGTGGTGGATTTACTATAAGCTTAAATGGAACAAGTGATAATCTCAGTGGCAGATTTACTATCAGACCCAGCAAAACAAGTCATAATCATAGTGGCAGATTTACTATAAGACCACACGAAAAAGGTCATAATCATAGTGGCAGATTTACTATAAGACCACACGAAAAAGGTCATAATCATAGTGGCAGATTTACTATAAGACCACACGAAAAAGGTCATAATCATAGTGGCAGATTTACTATAAGACCACACAAAAAAGGTCATAATCATAGTGGCAGATTTACTATAAATTATAAAACGAAAAGAAACCATGCCACAATCATAGTGTTAAATTTACTTTAAGAACAAGTCATAATTCCATTGCTAGATTTACTAAAAGACCAAACGAAACCAAGTCATTATCATAGTGTTAGATTAACTTCAAGAACAAGTCATAATCTCAGTGGTAGATTTACTATAAGACCAAATATCGCCATTCCATAATCTCACCTGTGGATTGACTATAAGACCAAATTAAGCCATTTCTTTTGGGTAACAACACCCAAATAGAATAACAGGTCGATCGCTTCGGTTTGAAGTTCAGCTATTAGCACATCAACTACAAAGATTAATATTTTTGTTGCACTGGCGAACAGGTCCAGCAAACGGTTCTGAAGCTGTCTTCTAAAGTCTTTAAAAACGCCTGGTGCAAAGTTGCGTTGGATTAAGCCTGTCGGATATGTTGGTTTTTTTTCTCCTTAAATCTCGTCACATATGTGTACATGTCACAGACAATTTTGGTTTCCTCTTGTAATCTGAGATTTAATTTATTGAATGGTTAAGGTCGAAATTGCAGTAAAGGCTAATTTCCAAACCATTCTCAATTGGTTAATAACAATAAAGGTTGGTTTTTTTCTCATTCAAGATATTCTCAATCTCATTTCTCAGTTTTAAAAAAAAAATAGAATTAAAATAAAATTAAGACTTTCGAAGACGAGTTGGAACGCACTGAAAATGGAAAATAATTGTCTTAAAATTTCTTAAAATTTATTACGCAAAGATATAACGCTCAGAATGGTTGTAGGTCACTACATGAAGCCATATAATAATTCAAATTTAATGAAACATAATTATGTTTTTAAAAATAATACGTACATCCACCAATTTTTAGTAGAGCAACCACAAGTCGGCACACAGCACTGTGGGGAACGAAAATGTTTTTTTTATCAAGCGCACGACGGGGAATTCAGCGAATGAGAGCGCAGCATGGTGTGCAATTAGAGGGAGAAAAACAAGAAAGATCCACTCGGGTTTTTTCATTATCATCGGGTATCGCTAATGGTACAAAGCAAAATAAAGGATAACTTGCATTAAAAAAAAAATCAAATTATAATATGTATTTTTTTTTACTTCAAAAGCTATAGTTGAGAGAGTTAAGCCGTAAAAACTATTTAAACGGAATTAAACGGTATAACCCTTCTAGATCGGCGCGGACATCTACTCGGGAACTATTATTATAGATAATAGATTCTGATATATCTGTCTTTGTACTGATGAGGAGGTTCTCGTGCTGAAGCTAGGTTCAATGACGTTCCTGATTGGACTGAGACCTGTCACGACCCGGATACCAGGAAAGTATATTAACACACCCGGCATATCTGGACCCGGCAAACCTGGACCCGGCATACCTGGACCCGGCATACCTGGACCCGGCATACCTGGACCCGGCATTAAACGGACCCGGCATACCTGGACCCGGCATACCTGGACCCGGTACACTTGGACCCGGCATACCTGGACTCGGCATATACACCCGGCATA